CCAAACCCCCCCCCCACACCAACAAATTTACCCGTTTGAACCTTTCAAGGTGCCAACCCTTACAAACACTTAAAGGTGTATACCCCCCCCCCCCCCCCCCTAGAATGCAGAATTTTAGAATTCTGTCCATGTAAAGTTGAACTTTAATAATAGCTGGAATAATATCTGTGTTTCAACTTTACATTTTGTAATTGTAACCGCTGTTTGCAAGACAAGAGGTATCTACTAGACAAGAGGTTCGGCCCACGAACTTTTTGTCTCGGACTTTCGGCCTAAAAGGAATTTCGGACCAAGCCTTAATTTACCTAATTAATTTTATAAATAATTAGGGTGTGAGCCTTGTTTGTGTTTCAAAATCATCGAAGGCCGTTCAGTATTTCTGCGATGGACATGCATACACGCAGACATTCTGTCCCGCTCAATTCTGTAGTAATTTTGTGGCAACAAGATCGAGTTACAATAGAATGAGTAATATTCCCGACACTACATTCTTTCGACGCACAGTCAATGGACTTAGTAAATCGATGCGCTTCACGTTATTTATTTTATTAATAGGAAGGAATTTTCTTTCAGTTCAGTAGTATTGGTAAGCGATTTCTAGGCGTGACTCCCACAAAAGAATTTTTTTGAAGAAGATCTTTTTAAAGTAATTGCTAAAATTATGATCCTCAGAGGACCTTCGCTGTCGGATTGAAGGTTCGAGGTAAAAACGATCTGATCGTATTATCGGATAAACCATGTGGACTACATAGGATGAAAAAACCCTCTTCTATCACTTGTCTTGACGCAGAGCAGGCATGGGAGAGTCCGAGTCCGGATTGGAAGATTTTTTGGCGCACTCGGACTCGGACTTGAGTTTTTGTATTTCGAGTCCGATCTATTCAACTTTCACTACAAATGAGCAGAGAAAAATGACAAACGAAATAACAACACCTTCTGTTTCACAAGAAATTGAAGATTTTGTTCAGGAGACACACATGCAAAGTAACCTTATTTTCGACTAATCAAATATCTATTCAGGGCCAGGCTGTCGCGAGGCTACTAAAATTGGGGGCTCCATACATTTTTTGTTGTGATCAGTGTAAAACTCAAAAAATAAGAAAGAAAGTAATAGTGTAGTAAATTGTAAACTTTGTGAAAAAAGAACAGATTTCGATTATGGGGGGGGAGGGGTGAATTCCCGCCTCCCCCGCTAAAACCAGCCCTCTTCAGGGCTCAGTAAATTATAAAAGAGAAATAAACCATCCTCATCAAAAAAAAGAATCTAAAAAATTACCGGACTCGAAATGGACTCGGTCCTTAATGTTAAGGACTCAGACCCGATACTCCTCGAACTCGCCCATGCCTGGCGCAGAGATAGAATCTTTATTTTTCCTCTCTATCTTATAGACGCTGAAATTTTCGTCGATCGAGTGGACTCTAGAAAAACGTCCAGAACTCAGAAAGTAAAAGTTCTAGAAGGCTCAAACGGTGGATTTTTAGGTTTTCAACATGCTGAACAAGATAGGACTAGTTACAAGGAAATCTGAGATATCGATTGAGCATGGCCTTATGGTAAGCTGTCGTTTTTCTCATGCAACAGCTCCTAGTGGTCGCTCACACTCATTTTGTGGTTCCCCGTACTCGAGCCTCTATTCCACATAATTTTCATCCTGTAAAGTGAAAATGATATTTTCCACCAATGGGATGCAGTGCAGAAGCCGCTCACAGTGATTTTCTTATTCCCCATAGTCGACTACACCCTCCATTTCATTTTCATCCATTCCAGCAAAACTTGTGTTTTCGACCAATGGGATGCACTATAGAGGTCGCTCATACCCATTTTCCACCCTAGACGTCGCTAATGGTGATTTTTTGATTGCCCATAGCCGAAGACCTATTTCGGATCGTTCTCAGTCAAAGTAGTTGAGATAAACATTTCCAGCAATAGCATCAATCGTAGAGGTCACTCAGTTTCTGATTCCCCATACTTGACTATCTATTCTGTATAAATTTGATCCAACGAAGTTCCGCCACTAATTTGTCGCTAGTATCTAGTCTGCGGACATACGAATACGCATACAAACATACATACAGGCATTTTAACTCAATAAGACTACATTAGGTAACAAGAACATTAGGTAATAACGTACTAGTTTAGCTAAACAATGAATTTAAAACTATTTTGATACAGCCAATGTCTAGCTGTCGTTATACGGATGGTCAAGATGAACCAGTCGACAAACTGTTAATACCAATTAAAGGTTACCAAGATCAGCCATTATTACCTTTGGAAGATACTGTTCGTCCAATTGCACATTTGTTCATTGATATCCAAGATTATGTTTACACCGCAAAACAAAACTGTAAAACACCAACTGATGGTTTGACACCGGATGAATCAGCTGCTATTTATTTGTACACAATGGAGTTTGATTCGGGACTCAGTATTTATCACGTACTCAATGAATCACTCCGGTCAGAGAAACGAGAGATACTTAAGCCGTGGTTTCGTTATCTCAAATTATTCCTTACTGGTCTTCATAAACTATCACCACAACCTCAGACGGTCTTTAGAGGAGTGAAAGGTGTTGACCTGAGTACAAAATATTGTACAGGTGTCAAATTCACCTGGTGGGGAGTATCGAGCTGTACAACCACTGTCGATGTATTGAATGAGGAACATTTTCTGGGCCAACTCGGTACTCGTACTCTTTTCTCAATTGACTGTTTGAATGGAAAATCAATCAAGTCTCACTCATTCTTTGGTGACAAAGAGCAAGAGATAATTTTAATGCCTGGCAGCTATTTTGAAGTTTGTGGCCAACTGAAATTGAGTAGCGATTTACATATGATTCAACTCAAAGAAAGAAAACCACCAATTGATTTCGTAAAACCGCCATTTGAAAAAATCTCTGGTAATTAGAAAAAAAGAATGAGTACAAAACTGTTGCTCCATTTTTTCTAGAAACATTTGAGCAGGTTGATCCCACAGTTGACTCAGCATCCAAACAAAATTTTACAACTAACCAAAAAAAATCAGAAGAACGTAAGTGTTGAAGTCGACTAACTAAATCAAAATGTTTGTGTAACTTGTTTTTTTATTAACTAATCTGACAGTGCGGAATGTCGTAGAAAGCAGTTCAACCGCATTGATATGAATTGCTTAGCGGCTCGCCCAGCTAACGATACCCCATACATGATCAAAGTTTGATAATGTTATTCAGCAAAATGTTCAAACCACTTCATAAAGAACAGACTATAACTTTAGAAATGGCGTGTTTTGTTATCGTTGAGGCACGTAGCATTAGGGACGCACCAACCCGAACGTTCGGGTTTGGGCTCGAGAGTTAGGTTGAGTTCGGGCTTGGGCACTTCGAGTTTGAGTTCATGTTCGGGTTTGGATGGGCATGCACCAATCCGATAGTTCGGTGACTGAACCATTCGCTCCCAAACATGTTCGGTCACTGAACGTGGTCGGCTTGGAAATTTGATGCGACCGAACGTGTTTGGACGAAGATTGCAAATACGATAATCTATATTTTTCTCATCAGAGATATCGGCGAGCGCTCTGTTGAGGCACTAGTAGGACAA